TATATATATATATATATATATATATATATTAATGTTTACACAATGCTTTAAAAATAATTTTTTCTCCTTTTATATCTTGATCAAAAGTTGTTTTTCAGGTAATAGTGAATAATTCAACTTCAGCCAAACCAATGGTTGTCGCTGTTTTAAGTGAAGGGAATTATTTTGGAGAAATAAGTTTACTTCGATTAGAAGGAGTTCAAAACAGGTATTTTACAAATATATTATAATTAAAAAAGGGCTTCATTATTTTGTAAATAGTAATAATTTTGTTAAATTTTATTTGTTATTTTTTTCACAAACGCTAAGTGTAAGCACTACCCTGTTCGCAAATGAATTTTAATAATAAGCTATTACTTTTTTATAATTGAAATTGAAATTTATACACTAAATTTATTCTCTATATGAACATATTAAGTTGAAAGTTTTTCATGATTGTAGTTACTAATTTAGATATTTAGGAGCCAAACAAAATAGTTTTTAAACGCTTCATTGTAAATGTTTAAAGCAGAAATAAAAGTATAAGTTTATAAAATAGCAGTTTATTCAACATATTGTTAAATAAATAATGCAATCTTGATGTAGAAGTTTTACTGCCTAAAATTTATTAACTAAAACGGCTAAATCTTACTGAAAAGAAAAAGTGTTCGACAAAATTCTTATTTGCTAATTCTACATTGTCTAAAATTCCTGATCAAATTACGGAAAAAGTACTTGCAGCCTGAGTGCAGCTTCCGTAAAATCCAGTTTTACCGTAAAATTTTCTACCGTAATTTTTACATAATGCTTATTTAATTACAGTAATATTGTGATTTTACAGAAATATTATTGTAAAAATTATGGTATATCAGAATTTTCCTTTCATTTCTTTATTTTGTTTACAAATCTAAACAAAATGAAGTCAACCAAGCATACACGTGACGCGGTAACTCAGGTGTCCCTTCACTATAGACAACCCAGGTTCGAATCCCGTTGAGTTGCCGATACAAATCCTGCTTTTGGCTCACGTCGTTGTTTTGTTTTCAATGGATTTTTATGGTAAAAAGTATTGGCACTCATAGAGCTAATACTTTTTAACGTAATTTGATAGGGAATTTTTACAGTGTACATAATCCATAGAAAAGTTACTTTTTTCTTATATTCTTTGCGTGCCATTTCTGATGTTTATTTACTTTCAATTGATTTTATATCCGATAAGTTCAAATTAATATACATGTTTTACATAAATAACTTCATTATAACTTGATCTATTATTGTAGCATATTCATCCCTGTTCTTATTTATCTTTATGCCTATGAACTTAGGGAAGCAAAACGTTTTCGATGTCGAAAAAATGATTTTTTCAACCATATCGACAAGCTATTTTTTAGTAATATTAAATGCATTTTAAAACTTTAAACTTTACATTTATAAACACTACGGGCTATTAATATCAATAAATAACAATAAAAAGGAATTTAAAATGTTTATAAATTTAATTTTTATAAATATTTGAAAATTTAATGTATATATAATTTTTTTTTTACCAGACATAGCTTTCGGTACGCTCAAAACATTTTTTACATGAAAAATCAACAAAAAATTGGCATTCACTCATGTAAATATGTTTGAAAAATCAGGTGAAATAGTTTGTTTCATAATATGTACAGAATATATTATGTATAAGCAAAATAAATTTAGTATTTCTGAAAAAATGCAAAAATTCGTTCAAATTTTAAAAAACTTCCCCTGTATAACAAAATTATAATGAAAAAAATAAACTTTATATAGTTAATTAAGTGTAAATAAGGTATATGTACAAGCATAGAAATTTTCATAACTTTACAATGATTTGTTTTTTGTACGAGCGTACCGAAAGTTATGTCTGGTAAAAAAAAATTACATATACATTAAATTTTCAAATATTTATAAAAATTGAACTTATAAACATTTTAAATTCCTTTTTATTGTTATTTATTGATATTAATAGCCCGTAGTGTTTATAAATATAAAGTTTAAAGTTTTAAAATGTATTTAATATTACGAAAAAATAGCTTGTCGATATGGTTGAAAAAATCATTTTTTCGACATCGAAAACGTCTTGCTTCCCTTTTAACTGATTGTCATTTTCCTTACGAATATTTTGTTAGCTGAAGATCTAGTAAGGCAGGCAAAAAATACGTCAAAATATTACTTTAGCTTTTACTTAAACTGTTTTTGCCACACTGTTAGAATTATCATTCTAAAATCATTGCAAAATAACCAGCAACAGCTGTCACTCCGATTAACAAAAGAATTTTGGCTAAAGCACATTTTTATTCTTTACAGTCTTGAAACCATTTGCAACTAGCATGGTTATAAGACGATGAATACAAAATTATACGGTTTTGAGCCATTTACAACTAGCATAGTTTCAAAATCGTAAAAATAATTTGACTGAACATAGGAGCTAGGCTTTTCGTTAGGTTATGGGTATTGAAGAGTCCAGGACACTTAAAAACTTTTCATGCTTTGAAGAGAACGGAGGTAATATTGCGGTGTAAAGAGTGATCTGTCCTCATGCTTCTATGTTGAAGATTTCTTTACTTTCCATGTTGAAGGCTTCAATCGAACCAATTTCCCCACTTCTAAAACCTAAGAAGTAGAAAATTGGCTTTAATTCCTAAGAAGATTTAGTCTTAGCAGTACTTATAGAAGTTACGTTTGAACTTTGTAGCACGTAAATTCATGATTCATTAACATTTAATAAGCTTATCATATTATTATTATAATTTTAACAAATTAAAAATTTAATTGTATCGGATTGCACATAGTCTACTTATTCACTTAATAATAAATACTTAATACTTTTGAGGTTGGTACGATTTAGGAAGCAGTGTTACAATCGAGGCAACCAATTTCCTAAATCACACCACTTGCAGGCCTTGTTAAAACAATTAATTTTCAGTACTTGCTGCGCAAATATTATTATCAAAAAATAATACAATATTAGTAGCTGAATAACTGCATTTTATTAATAAAATATTTCAAGTCTAGCTGTTAGTGACTTGTGGCTCATAAAAATTTCAATGATAAAAGTGATAAGATTTCGACAACTTTCTTATATATTATAAAAACTAAAGATTTATAAATATATATATATATAAACTTAGTTATGTAAGTGTGACATAAATACATTATTTTTTTCTATTTTGATGCATATACTAGGATAACTTTCACGTAAGAATTTTTACTTAATATATTTCTTCAATTTTTGTTATTAAAATAAGTATCGCGTTTGCTCTCCAACCTAGTTTGTTATTAATTACTCCTACAAAATAACTGTTTATCTCAATATTCAAAGACAATAATAGCTAAAATTTCATCCCGAAACATAATTATATTATTTTAGAAATAATAATAAAATATATAATTTTAGAAAAACCTTTCTAAAATTATGCGATTAACGTTACCATTATTTTAATGTTACTTTTTTCAAATGTGAAAGCACAAACTAACATTATTATAACATTCTGCATAAAAAATAAGTTGAAATTTACTTTATTTCACATAATGCGATACATTTCTGCATTGTTATAATTTTTTTCTGCTCATCATAGATATAAATACGTGCTTTTTAGTGCAGAAAATTGCAGTGACAAGTTTTTAAAAAGCCTAAGTTTTTAGTAGCCCAGAAATAAGCATCAATGTCTCAATCAATATATTGCTCAAACTATTCATATTTAACTACAATTCAAAATCCTGACAGTTTTGATAATTAATTGGTCATAAACTCAAAGAATTAAATTTTCCAAAGAAAATTACCCTGATATTGGATTCCGTAATCAATGTTTTAAAGAGCCGTAGAGGCTTAGCATCCATGATTTGTAGACCCCTGGGTATAAATGAATTCGTAGTAAGAACAGTGTTTCAGCGCAGATATCATCAATTTTTAAAATTGTTTTCTAATTTTAAATTTTAAACTTTTTTTCAGCTATTTAGACAATTTTTAGTTAAAAATTTTTAATGTACTTAGCAATTTATAAATTATTAGCTACTTTTGTCTTTAAAGGTAATAGAAAATCAGGGATAACATAAAGATATTCTTGTATTAATTTGTAAGGATTGCGTTGAAATTCCGTACAAAATTATTCTCAAAATACTGAAATTCTATACCTAAATAATGTCTAATAAAAACTTATTAGGTTTTGAAGTATTAAATAATATTTAAAAGTGCGCAAAAAACTTTTAAAGACTAAAAAAAACTTTAAAAGCGTTTTCGTTTTTAATTTAAAGCACGTCCATCACTTAAAAAAATATGATATATTTTTCAAAGCTAAAAATAAAAACACAAAATTTGAATCTAGATAGTTAAATATTTTCTAATATTATTTAAATAAAAAATCTTCTATTATTGAAAATAATAAACAGATTTGTTCCGAAATACTTAACTATTACTTCATATCCTTTGAAATAGAAGGTCATGTTACCTTAATGCTATTTCCAATCAATAGAAATATGATTAACATAAAATTGAACCTTTTCAGTTCCGTGAACAGTAAAATTTTACAGTTTATGATTCATATAATGGAATATTTTTTTTATCTTATATAATGCTTTTCATTCAAATTAAATTAATTTGAATTTTTCTTAGAATTTTTAAATTCTTATTTAAATTAAATTTTCAAATAATTTTTAAATAATTCCTTAAATACTTTTTTTAAATAATTTTTTAAATTATTTCAAATTAAATTTATTTGAATTTTTCGAATTATTTTTCTCATCACAACATTTCTCTTACGTCTTATAAATTTTTGTGAATAAAATGTTTCCAAATAATAAATATGGGAATCTCAATTAAAAATATCCCAATTAGATTTAATTTAAAAGTTTGTTTAAAAAACTTAATTAAATTTGCTCAAATTATCGTATGCAAGAATTAAAATGTTTCAGAAGGGCACATCAAACCACGAAGATTAAATCTGATTACGACGAAGATTAGATCAGATTAAAATCAGATTATTTGAAATTTTGCTCCCCCGATAAACACCGTAAAGTGCCAAAGGGCTATAGAAAATTACAGACCACTATTACCAGATTCATCAGTGGACATACTCGAACACATTTATACGTGCAAGAACAAAGGAGCTTCCTATGTGCCCCAAGTGTAATTCACACCAATCTTTTTGCCCACCTGGAGAATGACCTTTCGTCATACAGGCATCTGAAGGGCAGATTTATTAGCCACTCTGTCAGGGCACATTAGGTGGAGAATGAAAGAACATTCATGCCTTGCCAAGGATTCGAAACCAGAACCTTTCTGATGCAAGGCCAGTTCCCTGATCCCTAGACAGGCCGATCGGGGTTTTTTTACACCAATCTGCTCCAGACTATTTGCTCTCCTGTTTAGAAATGGAGAAGACCGCGATCTCTCTGAAAATCTAGTACTGGTTCATAACTTTCTGTAGGTGAATGGTCTTCGGGACTTGATCTAACTAAGGACTGGATCGAGTTGAATACGAAACAACATACCATTAAGTGCTTCAATGTGCTGTAACTGTAATGGATTTCTTACATTAAACTAAATTTTCACATGAAAGCAAAAATTACCCATATATTATGGTTCACCTAGTTTTTCTGGGAGCATAAATTAGTTCACCCTCATACTAACATTAAAATTTACATAAGAAATTACATAAATACATTAAGAGTTACAGAAATACATTAATTTTCTTAAGTGGTACAATTTTTAATTTCTTTAGATATATAAATATTTCTCTGTTACTTTCTATAGTTTTTTTATTAGAAAAAAATTTTGATAATCACTTTACATTTTAATTTTGTTTGTTCTACAAATATGTGGAATAGTTAGGGTATAAAAAGAAGACAGTTGGTATGTGCTATTTTAAAAGTTTATTACCGTAGTAAAAGTAAGTGCTGTTAAGTTTTCAAGTGTGTGTGCATGCAAAAGTGAAACCATTAAGCAGTTGGGTATGTAGTTTGGTGATGGTGCATCATTAGTCGTAGAGGTAGTGGGTAGAGTAGTTTTAAACTTTATGTTTGTTCACTTTGTTTGTATCCATCCTTTTTAAGCGCCTTTTTCCGTAGACGAACGGCTGACGTACGCTCCATAGGCTATTCAGAACTTTTATGCCTCTCCAGGCGGGATCTCATGGCGGTAAGTATAATTGCATATATTTTTTATTTTTTTAAAATTGTTTTACTTCCAATGAGCTGCACAGTCGGTCTTGCCAATGAGCACGCCTAGTGCGTTCGTAAGAGGTGGCATCCACTCTTTCAGGACCACCACTATGGGTGAGATACCTTTGGACATGTTAATTTGGACGTCCAGTTTCTGCCACACTAGATGGCAGCACCGAGACTCTATTTGGATGCCAAAGAGCACTAGGAATTTAATTTTGCCGGAAATGCCAAGAGCCAATAAGGCACTCCAGGGATCTTTTACATACCGCATAATCATACGACATGGCCGCTGAGGATTTTCTGCATTCCGAAAATCCGGTGTCTGGGCCGGGGATCGAACCCGCAGACTTGGGCTCATAAGGCCAACGACAAACCAACTGCGCCACCCAGCCACCATAATTACATATATAATATGTCTGAAAATAACCATACTAAAGTTTTACATATTTACAATCTTAAACAGTATGAACTCAAGAAAATATACACATATCACAAGAAAATATACAATATATATATATATTGCTGAGGGAGTAGAGTGCCCACCTCTCAATGAAGTGATCTAGGGTCGAATCCCGATGGATGATCGATACAAATTCTGCTTATGACACGCACTGACCACAGCGTGGACATTAAATATGTCCACACAGTGATCAGACTAATTATATATCTAAGGATATATCGATGATATATCCTCAGTGGTGGACGGATCATGTGTTAGAATCTCCAGTGTGTTGACTAACCGTGAAAGGTTTTCGTGGCCCTCCTTTGTTAGTTAACAGCAAAAGTATTTTAATTGAATCAACAAATCCCCACGAAAGATAGTTTGTTGCATTGCTTGATCCAGGCGTTACCTTGTCTTCTGGATTGGTGTCAAAATTACAAGACTACAAAAATGAACATTGCCAGTCTTTGCTCACTAATGTGTTCGTTGTTCAATGTCGGTTACAAGTAAATAAAAAATGTCTGTTGTAAGTTAATGTTTAAATGCGGAAATTAAAAATCTTTATCAGAATCCGTAGTATCACTTTTGAAGATGGTGAAGCTAAAAATATAATGACCGGTTTAATTGTCTGATAACCGTCTCTAATGTTCGCAGTTTGTTTGACTTTTGTGAAAGGTCAAGATCTAGAATGCGTGATGGAGTTTTTGCGAGCACAATATTGCCAATTCTGTCTTTCACATAATTTAATTCTACACTTCATCGATCTAAAAAAGTGATATTAAAAAAGTGAGGAAAATTGGTTAATTTATGGACTTTACAATATGATAAAAAACGAGGGCAATAGTTAGTCTCTATATTATTACCCTGGAGGGTATTATAGAGCTGTTTTTAAAAAGCTTAAAAAACAATAGGACAGCTCTTGAAGGGATCGCTATAGTGATTCAGCAGGCAACCAACTGAATCCTTGTTATCTTTCCGGTCTAAATGTTTTTGTAAGTAATCTTGTACAGTTGCCATACGAAAGCAAGCTACTACATTGGCCAAATGAAAGAATTGGGTATTTTATTTATTTTACAGTAGCTATTATACAATATCTACGACTGAATCAACATATAGCGATATTCTGCTCTCATTCCATTGTAAATAATTCTGATTTAGTTGATACTGATAATTCTGATCTAAATTCTAAATTATTAAGTTTGAATTCTTAGATAATTTTCTAAACTTATTATTAGAAAGAGGCAGATGAGAATTGAAATCGATGCATTAGAATTCAATTTTAACGAAAAATATTGAGAAATGCGTTTATAACTAACTTTTTTAAAAGGATTTTGTAATAATTTCATTAAGAAAATTGATTTTTCAACTATAGGCCTTGGTAGAATATCCAGAAGCAAAATCTGTGCTAGAAGATCATGCTAAGAAAAGGTATGAAAATATAATTAAATTATTTTATTTGTCATCGCTTTTATTATGTTTATCAGTAATATTAAGACATTTTATGATTCTTTTCAATTTATTTTTCTTATTTAGAGCTATTTCAAATTAATTTAAATTTAAATTTAATAAATAAAGTGATTTTTTATAGAATGGAAATGATTCCTGCATTAGGATTTATTTTTATTTTTTGTAAACTATCATCCTATTGTATCAATTTTAATTTTTGTTTTATTGAAAAAAATTCAGTTTGTTCTTAATTTAAAAACAAATTAAACACTAAGAAGTAAATCTTTACCAAAATATCGCTTTGAAAAAGAAACAATAATTTTTATATTTTATTTTTCTGAACTTGCACCACATTTCTTTATTTACCATATTTGAACGCTTCATTTAAATTCCATTCTTTTATTTTTTCATATTTGAAATCTTATACATCCTTTATTTATCATATTTACAATCTCCATTTGAATTCAATTCTTTCATTTTACTATATTTGAAGCTATATACATTCATTATTTACCATATTTGAAATTTCCATTTGAATTCCATTTTCTCCTTTTCCATATTAAAAATCTACAATTAAATTCTTTTTGCTTTGTCTTCTTTAATCTCCTTCTATTTTAAGCATTTTCTTTACATGCTTCGGCAGAATTTTCATCTGAAACTAATGATTACATGTTAACTGTATATTGCATATGAATGAATATTTAAGTTTGACTCCAATTCAAAAGAAATCACCTGTTTTTTAACTCTATAACTAATCTAGTTTTTTTTTCTTTAATTTTCAGTTTATTTTAAAAACTGAAATTTATAAATTATTTAAATTTATTGTTAAGTAATAATGCTAACAAATTTCTAGTTAATTAATATTTATTTTCAATTAATATAATAAAATTATTGTTAAGTAGTTCATTTTTAATTATTTAAAAATTTCAAACTTGTAATTAAATTATAAAATTTATTGTTAATTAAAAAATTATAGTATGACATCTACATATAAAAAACTGACTTATTATTAACTAACATAACTGAATATTAATGGGAGAAAAAAATTTAAAGCTGAATAAATATTATTTGATTCAATTTCAAGAAGTATTTTTTCTTTTCAGTTCTAAAAAACATTTTTGAATTAAAAAAAAATTGCATCTTTGCAGATACATTTTTATTTATGAATTTATATTGTCTCCGGTCGAAACGGTAAGTTAATATATTCTTTAAAAGGATTTTTGGAAGAAAAAAATTTAAATAATTGTAAATTGAATTCAAAATGTAACAAAAATTCTTAAGTATTTATCGTAGGGTAAATTAGATAATTTTATAAAGCAAAATATTTTTTTTTGATAAATTGAATTTTTAAGTATTTTAACTGACATTTTCATTTTTTATCTCTAAAGAATGAAGACCAATCTTCAGGCTCAGAGAGCATTTAGTGTAGATACACTTCTCAAAAATTCCCAAGAAAATTCAGTTGATAGTGGAATTGTGACAAAAGAAGAAGAAAAAGGTAAAAAAAATTATTATTTGGAAAAAATACCAATTGAACTGTACTTGTGAGGAAGGTCCTGAGAGTCATTTTGGTGAATATGGTAACATTTAACATCATAAAAATAGCAGGAAACTCTCGACGAAACACAATTTCTTACTTAAAATCGTTTATGTTTGTAATTATTATGTCATACCTTTTTTAAATCTAAATTTGTGTCCTTTTTTCAACAATGTCTTATGGTATCGGTATCTTCTTATTCTGGAAATTTTAACTATGTTATACCATTGCACGAAAAAACTTTCTATATATTTACGTTCTAATTTTAAAAACATTATTTTCTTTAAAACTAGGAATTGAATACATTATATCAAAACTTTCTTAAGCATAAAGCTAATAATTTTTACAGGACAGGAAGTTTCTGAAATAAAAGCCATGATTGAAGATTTAAAGAATGCCAGCAGAGTAAGTGTATTCTTACTATAAATTAATAGATTATTAATGAAAATTTAGATCAGTACAAATTGTCTTATTTATGAGAGAAAGGTTACTTAATTTTATAAAATGTCTTCCTTTTGCATTATAAATTAAGCATATAAATTTTACGATTCTAAACTTTGAACTATTGCTTCAAAGTCATTTTCTTAAAACAGTTTGAAAATTCTATCCTTTAAAACTAAGCTTTTATGATAATAATAGAATTTAAGAATGCTGTTAATGAGTTGAGTGACCAAAGACACATCTGAAATATTTGCTGACTTTTGTTTTAGATTACTTAACTTTAGATCAGGCTTTCTAACTGGAAGTTATGAATTATTAGTTAGACTAAGTAGTTAACGTTGTATTTTTTTTCTCAGAAATTTTTATAATTCTAATTTTTAAAACTGAGTTTTTATGTTAGCAAAAATAAAATTTACAAATGCTGTTAATCAGTTAATTGACAGAAGCAGGGCTAAAGAGAATAGAAGGGCTAGTTCACTCCGCTCTCAGAGCTGAATCTACGATTTCCCTCCTCATGACGTCACTGTGTCCACAGATCTCGGAGATCACAAGCAAAGATATTATGATAACTTTCAATCTTTCTCTTTGTAAAAATAAGTTAGACTTTTTCTGGTTATTAGCTTTCAAACTTTACGTAATTAACACATTATTTCCGTTCATAAACATAGTTCAAAAAAAACTTTCTTGGTTATTATATTAAAAAAATACCATTTTAAACTTATAAAAATGTTTTGCTAGTTGGTGAAAATGACACGATAAATACTTTATTTTAAAAAGTTCAGTTTTAACTTTAACTATTAAGAAAAATGAAGGCATATATCGACACTTTTTTTATCTACATATTCTTTTATAAAGATAAGTTAAGTTAAATTTAGAATCCCTGATTTTAAAATATGTCGTTAATAGCAATTTGTTCATACTTAATCATTAGGAAACATCAACCTTAAACGCTAATTACTGAAACAAAATAATAATTTAGGTTCATAATGACATTAGAAATTTTACAATTGTTTATAGACATTTAAATTTACGATGATATAATTTATAGATATTTAAATTGAAGAGAATATAATTTTTAAAAAAAATCATAAATATTTAGAATAACTACATTAAAAAATATGTTATGAAATTAGGAGAATTTCAACTATATACTATATATTTTATTTATACTTTTTACTTACATTTTAATTTTCTTTGACTTTATCTATTTTTTAATTCTTTTCACCTGCCTTTCTTTATGAAGTAGCGAGGCGGTTTCTATTTAGATAATGAATTTTTATAAAAGTTCTTTACGACAGAATAAACGTATTGCGGTTTTATATTAACTGTGTCATTTCGGAATCCATTCTTTACATAGTTGTTCATTTACTTTAGGGAACACGCGGAAAATTACATTTTTTCCTTTTGTTTTTCTATCAAACTTTTTCAAGTTGCAATCGTGCAAGCTGGCATTTCGATAATCGTTTTAAATTCTTGTAAATTCACTGCGAAAACTGAGGAAAGTCATTATAGAAAATAAAAAATGTCTTAAAATATCTCGCAAAAAGATATGCTCCAATATTAGTTTTAGTTAGAGCTAGTAAGGCCGAACGCTCCGTTCTTGAAGTTAAAGTGCTAGCTTTGCGCCAAAGTGACGTCACTAGAGAAAATCGGAGGATTGGCGCGGCGAGAACTACTTCAAAGGAGTGAACCAGCCCTTCTATTATTCTCTTTAGCCCTGGACAGAAGACACATCTGAAAAATTGATCAACTTCAAATATGCAAAGCTTCCATATATTCATTAGAAAGTTTTTTGGTCAACAATAAGACGTGATTGATTTTCAAGTGATTAATTGGATGATTAGTATACAATATTATTATAAAGTAACCAAAGAGGAGAAAATAAGAGGCACCACTTTACCTTTAAAAACGTATACCTATACAATTTAAAACGAGCTCGCCGTCTCTTAATGATGCTGCTATCTAGTGACAAGGATAAAAATAAAAGCTTTTTATTGTTCTTTCCAGGAATAAAATGTACAAAAATAGCTCTTTATGCTATTCCCGAATCATTAAAATAGTTTTTATCTTTTTTTCATGAAAGGGAGAAAAGGTAATCCACTTTATATACATATATATTTTTAAAAAATTTAAGAATAGTATCGATATTTTTGATTTCAATGAGTTAAAAACTTTATGGAACTTATGAATATAATAAGTGGTGCTGACATTTAATGATTCTTACAGAAAATATGTGTTCATCATTTACTTTCATTACAAAAATAGAACTTATTTTGGTATTTCTAGAAAATGCACACTTTTGAAAATATACATCGAAGAGTATTCAGCTCAAATATGTTTCAAATGAAGAAATTAGGCATTATGAGTTTTTGATTGCTAAGATAAGGAAGGGAGAATGTCGCAAAAACTAGCATAGTGCTAATAGCATGGAAAGGCGGAAAGATCCAGATGTGTAGCAATGGCGCATTGCTTTTTTTATAGTTTTTTTGGCTGGAGTGGTTTATCTTCCATAATGTGTCTCTGAACATAACTTTGCCAATCCATGATTTAATGATGAGCGTACCGCTCGAGAGTACAGAATAACATTTCTGTAAAATTATGGTAAAATACATGCCCAAGAAAGTGTTACAAAGATTATATAGTGTTTAGACAGCACCAAAATTCAGAACTTTTCTGACATTTATTTATTTATTTTTCTATTTAAATGCGGTTATCTAAATAGAAAACTTAGAATAATTAAATGAACGAATAATTTTTTGCACTAAAAAGCAGCATTGCTAAGAAAGAGAATAAAAGAACAGTTTATAAACTGTTGAATTGCTATACTGAATAGAATCTGACAGCAACGGGAAGAGGGGGAAAAAAGCACAGGGACTTGAATGTTGCATTTTGCTCACTTCATCCCTAGTCGACGTTGTTTGTGATAAAATTAACGCTTATTTAATTTTGCAATAAAAAGTTGGTAATTCCTCTACACTCTTTAACCCGGATGGAGTCGTGAAGTAATCCCTAAAAAATCAAAAGATTCAAGTTACATAAGCAACAGTAACTTCACTCTGTCAAAGTAAGCTAGCTACCCAATTTAGATATTGACATAAGCTCCTGCATTTTAATAAATCTACTCTCTGATCTACATTAAAAATTGTATGAAAGACTCACAATCAAAGTAAACATCCATGTGACAACAGAATTTAAACTGGTGTCATTGGCTTTGTAGTGTAGTATGCTACCCACTATACTGTATAAATCACTATTCGATATTTTATGCGTTAGGAATTTCGTACATATTTTTTCCAAACGTAATAGTCAATATTAAATTATCTAACCAAACTTATTTTCCTAGTTATTTTCGCTATTTCTTTAACTGTGCTGTCATTAATTAATGCTTAAGTTGTTTAAATAAAATCGTATGATTTGATTTCTTATTGAATTTGAAACCAAAAGGTATCTCTTTCACTGAACAAATGTTCCTGGTCGATGCATCGATAATTGTTTTTTGAGATGCAGAACTCTGCTTGAGAATTTTCATAATAAATTTTCCCTTCCAGTGGATTCCCATTCACAGTGGCATAGCAGAAAATGAGAAAGCTGACTTCGTAGACAAGTAGGGATCTTAGGTTCCCCAGAAACCTTCTGGGAATTTAGGATTCCATTCTGCTTGACTGGAAATTTCCAGGATTTCCAATGCTTTCTCTAGGGAAATGACTTACGAAACGGAGACATTAGAATTTGCATCTTTCAAGTGGAAGACTTTAAAATGTATTCTTCTCTAAACAACAGATTGTTCCTGGCTCACAGCATGTGGCTTCAGCTGCAACTTTTAGGCATCTAATAGGGCATGATTGTCTTCGTGCCCATCTTGACCTTACATTTTCTCTTAGTATGACTGGCCAGGATATGACTAATTTACATTTGAACGACTGCCTTTGCACTATTAGCTTTCTCCAGTCAAATGAAAAAATATCAGAGGCCCTGTCATCTAATGGCCTAGGGCCTAACGACTGGTATTTGATAATAATGATAATGCTCCTAACAAACGAATACAAGAGAAATAACGTAATAGTATATGCCAAGAGCGTGCTCTATTACTTAAGAATCATTTATCAGTCAGTATTTAATTGTTAACAAATTATACTTGTTTTAATATTAATATAATAAAAGGAATACATATAAATTTTATTGCAAAACCAGATAGGGTTGGTAACAAAATATTTTAAGCCGGTAATATTTCAAATTTGATCCGAGCAGTTTCAAAACACAAAATAAAAGTGTCTTTCATTCGTATCTCTCTTTTTAACTATGTTAATAAAAATTAAAAGTCTTCTAAAATTGTTCTCTTTTAAAATGCAGGTTCCTGGACGAACAATATGGCAGCTTATTGCAAGGGTAAGTTGCATTAAAGCTATTCCTTTCATATCTCAAATAATTTTTGTATATTCTATGAAGTGACTGAAGTTTTGCAAATTGAATTAGCTTTTTTTTTATCTAAATTGTTTTCGTTTTAATCAGGAATTTTTAAGCTTCAAAAATCTGTGAACAGTTCAGTTAACTTTATGATCAAGTTGTATGCAAATAATCTCTTGTTCTTGCAATTCAATCTATTCATAGTTTATATTTTTTATTCTTTTACATCAGTTTAGAATAATTAATCAGCATTAATATCATGAATTGCATAATATTTTTGCTTGTATAATATTATGAAATTATAATATTATGATAGCCATTTTTCAAAAGCATGTTTCAAATCAGGCTATTTTTTATACTTTCCACGTGTTTGTTTAAATGGCTTATCTCATGTTAAATTATTTCAACGCATATTAAACTTTTACGCTGTTACGAATGCCAGCAATATTAATGGTTTTGCTGGAAAAAAACAGAGGAAGAAGAATAAAGAAAGCGATTCAATGAACCATAGAATAAGATAATCAGAAAATTAGTGTTCATTGGAAAGTCAGAACACACTGAATTGAATCAGCGTATTAGTGAATAAGTGAATAGAGATGTTCAATATAAGTTTTCAGAAATAAAAAAAATGTATTAAAGACTTTTGAAAACACTTCTCTAATTTGAAAAGAAATTGCAACAAAAAAAATGTCCAATAGTAAAAAAAAATTATCGCATGCAAAAGAAATCCAAAGATTTCTGAAATGATGATCACTTGATTTTATAATTAATTATCATTAAAAAATCAGCGTTCTTTTAACATTATTTTTAGAGATAAAAATAAATTTCGCATACTATTGTTTTGTTAAAACACAAGTCTATCAACCGAATTTCATAGCATTTGATCAATCAAATGTTTAGTAATAAGACTCCAAAAACCTATCGTTCTTTTCAAATCATTCAGTAGAAAAATAAACATAAGACAAATAATCTTTTTTTTCTGTTGCAGTGTGAAGTTTTGCAATCGAAGTTACTTGATAAAGAAAAAGAAGTTGAAGATTCCAAACACCGCATCAAAGATCTTGAGCAACTTTTATTTTCTCATCACTATCCCAAATACGATGAAGAAGAATCCCCACAATGCTCTGAAGAATCAACAGAGAGCTCTCCCGTCAAGAGCTTAAGAGCCATCAGCAGTAACAACAAAGTAGTCAAGCAATTTTCTCAAGATGAAGGACGCAGAATCAAGCCGGAATCTTCAGGGAGTTCCCCAGAGGATGGAGACAAAAATGAGAATCGAACTATTCCGGATCTCAAAATCACAAGGCCTTCGTCAGAGGGTAGTTCAGGCGAAGACACTGATCGAAAATACTCGTTGGATTCGAACACTTTCATCAAAACTTCGAAGATCCATAATATCTACGAAAGGAACGTGGCTCCAAGGAAGGATGAGTCACTTCCAGAATCGAGTTCTGAAAAAGACCTCTCAACGATTGAAAGTAATCGTGCAACAGATTGCTTTACGAACTTCAAGATTTGCACGCAGAACATTTGGGATTGGAAATCGTGTTCCAATTACTGCTTCTCTAACGAGACACTGATTGATCAAGAATTTTTCTTGAATAACGAACAGGGTTTGTCTCTGTCCACCAGCATTAAAGACCAATTCTCTGTATCGGATTCGAATCCGGTAAGTATACCTACAATACCAGAAGAGAGTGAAGACGATACGTGCGTCACTGCAAGCAATAATAACGCGTCTGAGTCAACAGACGCAAAAACTGAAACCAAACACAACCAATCAGCGAATAGTGTTGAAAATCAGCATGAGCTTAATCAAACAGCAAAGGATGTTAAGTGCCTTGAAGATGAAGAAGACATGGACCGTATCAACTATAGGCGTCTTCGTCTTTTAAGTGACTGTTTTTTGAATGATTCGAATTCAAGAAGGAACAGTTGGAACAATTCTGATTCTGATGCTTACAGTGACGATGATGATGAAATTACTTCTAGTTAAATGTCTGAAATTCTTGCAGTTTTTTGAGAGAAATATGTTATTTAATTGAAACATTTTATCAAGAGTTCCAGAAGTCTATATTTAAAACAAAATACGAGAATTTTCATAACAAACAAGATTGTTCTTTACATAATACCTTTTAATGTTAAATTTTTTGAAGTTTTATATTTATTGTATCATAAATTCACTTTGAACCAGATGATATCATTTGATATGCAAAAATATACGTGGCGTATGTTTTTAAATGTATATTTTAAGACAACATTTTTAATCGCATAATAAATCAAGATTGATGCAATAAAAAGTTATTGTGTAATATTTGAATCTTAATATTTCTAACACTGCTATTGCGGCAAAAATAAATTCATAAATTAAAAGTTGATCAAAATTTAGATGGTTGCAACTCAAATAATATTATATATTTCAGTTGTAGTCAATAATTTTAGAAAGTACATGAAAAAGACAATTATCAGAGTATATCTACTACAGTAGAGTAAATTCAATGAAACTTGTAAGTTTTAAAGAGAATGGAAAATATTGTTTTTTTTTTTTGTTCCTTTTTTTTAACAACGAATGCATTGGAAGACTTATTCTTACTTAAACTGGCAATTAGAGATGGATATGAGTTTTTCCATCAATCTGAAACTTAATTTTTTAACCCATTGGATATATATGTTCCACCGAGACTTATATATTCCTGCAGATATTTCCGAAACGTATATATCCTGCCCAAAATACCCTATGGATGGGCTAAATAAGTTTGAATTTTATGCGAATGCATAATCCACTTGTTTCTTTAAGTAACAATAACGTTTTAGTCTAATTGTTTAGTCTATTTAGCAGAATGTTGTTACTTTTACCTTATTTGATCTATTAATGTTGATCTATTATATTTTTTTATAGAAAAAGAAAAATTAGTCTTGTAAGCGTTAAAGCTTATTACGACTTAGAATCTTATCTTTAATCGGAATTTTGAATTAACAGCTCGAAATGTTATAAATATTTTAAATCAAGAGTTTAGTTTTGAGTTCATAATGAGTTTTTACAACTTCTAGTTGTTAGCGAATAAATAAGTTTAAGAATAACAAAAAATAAAAACGTTAGTCAAGATTGTTTTAAAGAAATTGCTATTGTGATTACTAAATTAAATAAAAAGTTTTCTTAATTTTTTTCTTTTCTTTTCTTCCTTTTTTAGGTTTGTAATCGAATCTTATTACTAGTTTTAACCTTAATTTTATGCTTTTATATTACAAAAATATTCTTTCTTAACAAAAAAGTTTTCAACGTTTGTAAAATCAAGTACTCCATTTTGAGTTAAAACTTTAAGTTAAGTTGGCAATTTTTTTTTCTTTTTAAGAAAATGTGCATAATATTATACCATTGCTCAGGACAGGTATTGACATCAATTTTCACCATGAAACACACCTATAATTTAATTAATTTTGCAATAAGTAAATTGTAAGCTAAAACGACAATGCATAAAAACACTGTAACATTGGAGAACGTAAAAAAAATTAGAATAAAAATTTTTAAAAATGAATTTTCTTTATTATTTTCAAATTTATAAAATAATCCATATTGTTACAGTAGTGACTTTTACAAAAAAAAAATATTTGCTTAAAGGCAATTTTTTCGCTTTAACATTCGTAAAATGTTTTGCTTGCCAACAAAATTTTACTGCATTCTATTAATAATAGTTTTAAACTATTGAAATTTACTGATTGCGTAAGATATTAGACTAATTTAAGTTTTAAAAAACACTTTTTGAATTTATAGTTTGTTATAGGAGTTTGAAGGATGAATTTCAAAACTGTACAGATTTAAAATTTCCCAATTAGCTTCTGAAATACATATTAGAATATACGGCAATTAAGTAATTCGTATTTGGCAATTTCCGGGTAATTTTTCTGAATAAATGCTCTTACTTAAATAATTAAAGTGAACAAATTCGAATATTTTATCCTCATCAAGCTCTTCATAATAAAATTTAATGTTAAACTCAAAGAATGTTGGTCGATATTTTTTTACGATTTTGCATTCAAATGAGAACTGAAAGAAATAGGCAGGAATTTTTACTAGTCTACTAAACTTTATAGCAGAGTTTATTAATAATTGCCGAGAAATGCCCACTTCCAAGCTTTTGGAACATTTGAATGATCAGATCCGCGTAGGCATATTTTTAGTTGTCTTTAATTTAGTGTAGTGTTTTTGCAATTTTCTACCTATGCTCTCTTGTTTTATCTTCGTATGTTTGTTTGGAGATAATTTCCCTCATTTGCAATGCAGTTAATAAAAATAGCAACAGAGCATCAACTTTTTAAACAAATCCAAAGATGGTTTTGCAGCGTTCGGATAGTGAAGAAAAGCTACACAACAAAAAATTTTATTAGTACTTACCAAGTTAACTGGAAATCGAATAACGAAATTCGACAATTTTTGACATTTATATTTATATATAAAGTTTGCATCGCATTTCGGTGAATGATCAATCATTGAATCGTTTATGAGCATTGACAAATCAAAATCAAACTTTCTCTCAGGTTCATAAAAAAGTTTTCTAAGATGCCCGAAAGAAGTTCTACTTTTCACTACAAGCATCACAGTTTCTGTAAAGAACAATAAATTAACAACAATTAATATCGGTACTAACAGATCATTAACCTGTTAAAAAAAATCAACGGTGGTTTCTGTGAAGAGCTATAAATATAGATAATAGCAATTAATAAAAATAATAAGAGAGCATTAACTAAATAAAAAAATGCACAAAGATGATTTCTGTGATAGGCAATTAATAAAGATAATCAAGATAAGAGCAATTAATAACTAAATTAACAGTGTATTAACTTGTTAAAAAATTCCGAGGATGGTTTCTGTGAATAGCAATTAATTAAGAGCAATTAATAAAGATAATAACAGATCATTAACCTGTTTAAAAAAACATCGGCGGTTTCTGTGAAGAGCGAAAAATTGAGATAAGAGCAATTAATAAAAATAATAAAAGAGCATTAGCTTAATTTTTTAAAAAAATACAAGGATGGTTTCTGTGAAGAGCATTAAATCAAGATAGGAGCAATTACTAAAGACAGCAAAAGAGCATTAACTTGTCGACAAAAAAATATCCACAGATGGCTTCTGTGAAGAGAAATTAACTTACTTCTAAGTGCCAGAAAATATCAATGAAAGGCGTTTCTAAGCATTTCAAGATTGTTCAAAATTGCTTTTGTCCGCCTTCTCGAAATCAGCTTTTACCTGATATATTTAACAATATTTCTTTATACAATTAAAATTACATCATCATTTGCATATTAGGTCCCACTCCTACCACTACTTTTTCCCCCCACTCAGATATGAATTAATTGAACTTTCGTATGTGAATAATTCTTTTATGTTATTTTCGTCTTTTCTGTTTCCCAAAATTTTCAAGTTAAATAAAATAGAAAAAAAAAAAAGCTGTCTATTTTTTACCTTTACATTACATCCTTTTCTTGTTAGAGCTACGTTTTCAGTACTCCTCCCTCTTTCCTACTACGGATGTGTTTTAAAAGAGGTTATGAACTGTCTCAATTTGAATTTTTTAAATCAAATATTTGTATTTTTTTTTATATAAGTCTTACATGTACGAGTCTTATGCAAGTCTTAATTATACAATACAAGTCTATTAAAATTTATTTTCCAATTAACTATGCAAAGCTTTTATTTTTTTTGTTTTTAAAAGGTTTTTTTGTGATAATTCGTGCATTCATATATAATTTCTGAATTACCCCATAACATTTAACATTGAAATAAGCGAGAAATAACTCTAAAACAACTAGGGTAGAACTAAGTATAAAAGGAAAAAGATGGAAATTGATAGGTCATATATAGAGAATGCCTCCTACAAGAACACTAGCAGAAGCCTTAACGTGGGCACCAGAAGGCAAACGAAAAAAAGGGAGACCCGTGCTGACATGTAGAAGAAAGATGGAAGAGGAATGAAGACAGGCGGGATGGACGAGCTGGTCTAAGGCGAGATCTTGTGCAAAAGACCGAATGAGTAGGAGCACGAAGACAATTGCCTTATGTGCCACCAGGAACGAAGTAGGATAAGTAAGTAAGTACATTATGCAACCAATAAATCCGTACTCCAACTTTACTATCCAACTTTTATTAATATATACATTTCTTTAATTTCTAAAATTCTGAAAAAGAAAAAAAAATTCAATAGCTTTCACGATTACAATGCAAATTACATCATTTACAAAAATAAAAAGCTTTATTCATTTTATTAGAAGCCACTAATCGCACTATTAAAGAGAAAAAAATCAATCTTTATTCAAAATGACTTAAAGTGCCCCTAAAAATTAGGTAAAAAAAGGAAAAGAAAAGAACGACAACAGCAAGGAAATGTATAAGATACGCAAAAATATTATATTGAGCATGTATGAAAAAGCAAGGTACACAAGCTAAGTTGCTCTATGCTTGCTGGAAGCAAGTTTTATTTGTGCAAAACTAATAATTTCACAAGTAGTTAATTTACAGTTCCAATTTATGAACTGCAGAAACAAATTATATGTATACATATATGATTATGAAATAGTTTCGGAGTTAACTGTATATACATAATACTCTATCTTCAGAAACTAAAGTTATGTAATTATTTAAACTGAAACTTTCTAAATTAGTAAAACCTAGTAAAATTCAAAAACACAAATTGAGATAAATTTAAATTAAGATAGTTATGTTTATAAATACGATACAGCATTTGGTCCATAAATATTTTATTAAAGAATTTCTGCTGAACTATTCAAGAAAGTTTAAAAGTAACATACTATTTTACAGCACTAGATGGCAGCATCATAAGTTCTCTTGGCACATTGCATTCTTGTTGTAGTACATAAGGCCTATTTTGATAATATTCCGAATAAAATTAAAGTTTTTATCAAAATTTCTAATTTTTTAGTTTGAGGGGTGGCCAACCTTTTTAGAAAGATCGCAGCTATCGGAAAAAAAATTATCTGAGCAACTTACAACTCTAACATGCAAATTTTTTTTAAATTTTGAAAAATGCTTTTTTTATAATATGCTGCTGTGATTTTTGCTTAAATAGCGCTTATTTTCGCAACATGAGTCGAAATAATGAAGATTTAAGAAATGATATATAAATAAAACTGAAGTGCAAAGTTAGGCTTTATGGTTAATAAACATTATAAAGTAAAAGTTTATGTATAAAATGAAAATAAATAACTTGAATAATTTTATCTTAAATAATTATATAGTCAGCTTGTGTGGCTTTTGATTTTTTTTCACCTAGTAATCAATCTTCCCCTTATCTGTCAG